AAGCCTATCCTGGCTAATGGAGTTTGAAGCTAGAGGATGGACTAATAATATTAAAATTGATCAGCCTGGCATCGTGATATCCATCTTTTCATAAATAAAAGTGTGTGATTAAGATTTCTAGTGCCAAATTATCTATCTATCTATCTATCTTACTAATTTGTTACTCCCTCCTTCCCTAAATGTTTGATGCCGTTGACTTTTTTAAACATGTTTAACTATTTGTCTTATTCAAAAACTTTTGTGAAATGTGTAAAACTATATATATACATAAAACTATATTTAACATTAAATCAAATGATAAGACTTAAATTTTTTGAATAAGACGAACGGTCAAACATTTTTAAAAAAGTCAACGGCGTCAAACATTTTGGGATGGAGGAAGTATATTATCAAGACAACTTGAAAAAGAAATAGCACAATCGTTGTGGAGGCTAGAAATTCTAACATTAATCGAATGAAAAATTAAAATCTAAACAGTTAGATCATAGTACACCAAACTATAACGTGTGGATTGATAGTAACGGTTGTATACATCACATAGAAAAAAAATGTTCTATCTTAAATCTTATCCTACTTTGGATATCTATTGTATACAAAATACAATTATATATAGAAAAAAAGAGGCAAGAGCTGTACAACAAATCCAATTAACTACCCTGTGCAACATTGCGTGGGAAAATCCCATAGTTATATTATTAAGACAATTCAAAAGAAACACACCATGTTCATTACATAGGACTAGATATTACCATATTAATAAGAGAAAAGAAGAAAACGCTGCATCGTCAGATCATGATACATTCATTATAACAGTTTGAGATTGCTCAGCTGGTCGGACATCTCTGTCTATGGCAAAATCTAAACTGAGAGGCTTCTCGGTTTAGTGTTAACCAGCGACGAATGAATTATGAAAAGAAATACTGCTACACGTGCTGACGTGTATGTTTGTTTTTCGTCTTAGACATGCATGTCTTTTTATTCCTTCTTGTAATTAAAGTTCTCTCTCAAATTACTTATCCGATCTACAATCTGATTGCACTATTGTGTTCGTTACAATTAAATCTTCACAACAAGATCTTACATGATTATATTACGATGAAAAAATATTTATATTTATAAATTACTTTTATTATATACGTAAGTTACTTTTATCATATATATATATATATATATAAAAGTTACATTTAGATTTGACTAAGTTACTTCTTAGACATATAAAAGTAAATTCAATAAAGTCTAAAAGGTATTAACATGTATCATAAAAGTATCTTAAAACAAAACGGAAGTAACTTTGTCACGATATTAGAAGTAAATTCATTAAAGTTACTTTCTTTTTGTTACAAGTTACTTCTATAATATATGTAAATTACTTTTAAGCTTTATTGAATTTACTTTTATATGTCGAAGAAGTAATTTAGTGAAATCTAAAAGTAATTTAGATTTATTATAAAAGTAATTTATAATTTTTTATCAAAATATAATCATGTGAGATCTTGTTATAAAGATTTAATTGTTACGAATACAACGGTGTAATCGGATCGTAGATCGGATGAGTAGTTTAAGAGAAAATTTTATTTAAAGTATAGGTAGATAGAGTCTCTTATAGGTGGAGTGATAGCTGGTTTAGACAAACCAGCTATCACTAACTGTGTAGTCACGTCCACTATCTATCTATCTATCTAGATAGCTAGCTATCTATCTATATCTATATTATTTTTATGACGAGTTCCAACGTTAATTAGAAAGATCAAAGAGTTTATTTTTTGACATAGAAAGATCTAACCGGTGCTTAACTAGATCGATTTATCTTAACCATCCAGCCGATGTACTAGCTATAATTATGGGCCTTTTTTTCAGGCCATCTAATCTGTTGCTCACAGCCTCACCGTGTACATTTTTTCCCCTTATCGATCCAATCTGTATCGTGGTAAACCTTAAGTACCTATCTCAGGCTATATTGTTTGGTCAAAAAATTGTCAGGGTATATCGGCATTCGCCCTAGGAGAAACACCGAGTAGCTGATCTCAGGCTATATCGGCATTCGGCTGAGGATCGACAATCAGCTGAGGGGTAACGCTTATCATCAGACCAATGTTGCCAACTAAACCGTTGAGGTGAGTAGTAGTAGATATAAGTCTATACAATGTACGGCTCCCTTTCTTCTGTTCGGCACAACAATGAACAGATGCGGAACACGAGGACACGTGGGAGGATGGAGATGCCAATGGAGATTCGGTACGAACTTCTTTTTCATAATGTATCCTCATCTTAACCTAGAGTGGCCCGCATTGAACTACTACTACTACAAAAACAAATATATATGTCAGCACTATAGGTGTCGGAAATACTAAAAGAGAAACCTATAGTGCTTTTCCCGTCTAAAATACACATCCACGGGACACCATCACTAAATCAATGGTATTATCATCACAACTATCACCATCAACAGAATCCATGTGATCAACATCCGATCGATCTTCTTTGTCATCGAGATCCACTTTTTGCTCGCCATGATTGATCCATATCGTGTAACTATTGGTATTAATTACGAACATGAGATAATCTGCAAGTGCACAAATACCGTTGTAGCTTTTACTCAAGAGTATTTTAGGGTATTGTATCCACAGGGAACGTGTATGTATAATCTAAAAACATGATTCTTCTAAGGATAATAACTAAATGGTAGGCTTGGGATAGAGATCACTCCTATGGGTTAGTTGCCTTAATTACGTTAAGATAAAACTCTATCATTTACTTCGGGCACCGGCTTAACCCTGGTCTACCGACGAGACTCCAGCCTACAGCTCTATGATGTATCCGAACATAGAGGATTATGAATGATGGACAGGGCTGTCGTCACCTGCCGCCTTCCTCTACAACACGTGGAGCACACGACTAACAAATGTAACATCCAACATAGACTTCGCGTCTATGCTATTGATTACTACCCTAATATCGATGTCACACTAGAAGATTAAGATACAATACCTAAGCAGAGTGATGACTCGCAACGATGAGAATATATCTTACTTAATACGAAAAGTAAATACTAAAGGAGATCACGAATACTTACTTATAAAATAAGTATCTATCAAGATACAAAATTGAAGAGAGTGCCGACATCTTCGGTACTCCTCTGGAACTCCCCTGGAAGAATGCCGACATTTCTGTCACTCCTCAAAAACTCCCGGAGAGAACTCCGACATTTGGGGCACTCTTTTCGGAGCTTCCGCTTACTCTCTTCATATATTCTAACTCTACTAGAGAGTAGTCTGAATGTGTGAGTTGTATTCCACTTGTTGTGTGTTGTGAGTGAAAGCTTTTCCTCCTTTTATAGCTCCCAATGATAGTGGCTTAAATTGGTAACCACCGAGGAAACCACCATAACCATCATTGGGAAGGCATCTGGAAGCGACAGGTGAAAGATGGGGGCGATCAATCACTGTGGTGGTTCCGCTTCGCCACCTGTCTCCCCTGTTATCACCCGAGTCATTGTCCTGTGGGCCCTCATGAAGGTGCTATGGTTTGTGTGCCCTCCAATTCATCTACACGCGGGTTGACCTCAAATATATCGGTTTTGCTATGGTTTGTGTGCCCTCCAATTCATCTACACGTGGTTTTAGTCCATAAACAAATATTCACCATGACTATTGGAAATGGTTAATAATAACCACTATCTCAAAGTTTGGTATTTTATTTTACATTCCTTCATTCGCTTTTATGCAGGATTTGACGGTCGGATTTGGTACTTAAGGACCGTCAACAGTAACCCATCATAAATCCACGCATCACCAAGTGGCCAATTACTCTCGTATTGTCTACCCATACTTTTTCATTCTTACAGTCAGCACATGCATAACGTATCTTTGTTGTATTGTTGCTGTAAGCGTGCGCCTTGGCAATATCGATATATTTAGATACTTGATCATATATAACGGCAAATACCTCGACATATGATACATCATTTGTTTGTCTATAACTATGGAAATATTTCATTTAAAATTATATTTAAAAAGTAAATTAAAAACAAATTAAACTTTGCTCGCTATGGGCAAGAGAAATATAAATAATTAGGGGATGGTGATCTAAAAATTTAACATAGATATATTTTTTCTACAATGTGGGAAGTGTGGACAATATATATTTCTCTCTCTCTCTCTCTCCTCTAGATCTATATCTAGGTGATTGGAAAAGTTGCAATATACATATATTTTGGCTAATGAAAGCATCACATTTAAGAACAAGGGATGAGAGGACAACATGCCATCAAGGTGTATACATAGATCCGCCACAATCATAGCTGAAAAAAAAAGATTATATGCACATGGTGCTTTCACTACTATTAAGGCCTAAAAATAAAAATAAAATCGTAAGAAGAGAGGGAATGCATGGATCTAATAACTGTAGAAAAATCCACCGAAGAAATATCGTATGAATTGTGTACGGCTCAGGGAGGAAGAAGATTATATAGAGCCATCTTCCCAAGCAGATAACTTAAGATGCCACCTGAGAAGGTACATCTTCGTATGTGAAGCTTTAAGAGGCCTGCCTTGGAAAATGGAGTAGTATCACAGGTAGGACGCCTTAAGTGCTCCTCCTGTGCAAAATGTATCTTCTCAGGCGGCGCATTATGTCGTCTACCTAAGAAGATTGGTCTTCGCAGATGGATGGCCATCTTGCCCTCCTCCCCTCCCCCGGCACATTCTACAGGAGGACCGATGGTGGCAAAAATATACTCCCTCCGTTTTGAAATGTTTGACACCGTTGACTTTTTAGTACATGTTTGACCGTTCGTCTAATTAAAAAAATTTAAGTAATTATTAATTCTTTTTCTATTATTTGATTCATTGTTAAATATATTTTTATATAGGCCTATAATTTTACATATTTCACAAAAGTTTTTGAATAAGACGAACGGTCAAACATGTACTAAAAAGTCAATGGTGTCAAACATTTTGAAACGGAGGGAGTACCCGTTGAAAAGATAGGTGCACCTTGTCTGCAAAAAATATTTTCCCAGTAATGTCGATTTGAGCAAATTTTTCAGCAATCCAGTTGAGCACATTATGTTAGTCATGCTCCTCTTTGAATTTATTTTACCTAACTTCTGATTTGACACCTGGCGTACAGTACAACCGTGAACAGTAGAAGATTAAATCCAGTTGACAACGAAAGCTTAGCTAGCACTACTTTCAGCGAAGCACACATAAAGCATCGATCATATCCATATCATATCCCTCCATCGATCACAGGCTCACATCTCGTCTTTAACCACTCTGTTACTTGCAGCAGCATTGCGTGCTCCTGATTTGACAGGGTAAGAAGCCTCCATCGCGATGCCACACAGCCCATTCGAGTCTGACGACACACCACGCTGCATTCTGATGTACCCTCTCTCGCCCCAATCCTCGCCCCACGAGTTCTTGACGATCCAGTACTTGGTGCCGTCTCGAGTTATACCGTAACCGACAGCGGCAACACCATGGTCGAGATCCGTGCCGCATTCTCCGGTGAAGACACCCTAGTTTGATTATTCCCAAGTGATATATATATGATGGTATTAGTATCTTTGAGTATAATTAGACACACGCACACTGAATATGTGTAGATCATGTGTTGAACTGTTGATTAATTTCAGACATATCGTGTAGCTAGGTTGTTGGTCATGTTGTTAATTACCTCCGAATAGAACTGGAAATCTTGGCCGCTAGCCTCTACTGCAACAGCCACAGGCTGGTTTGCGACTGCTTTCTGTAGAGCCGACTCGTCATTGGCAGGAACGTCCTCGTAGCCATCAATCGTTACATCGTGAGAGCTTGCCTGCAACATAAACACCAGATGGCAAATTTTCAGTTTGTATTCAGACTAACTTCATTTTAGTCCTAAAACAAGTGTTTATTAACCATGCATCTTTCTTTACTCGGAGCAGATCTTTTTTCATGATAAACATTTATGTTTCCTCCGAACGCTTTGCGCAAAAATTAAGTTATTTTTTTTCTTCAAATTCAACATTGATTTTTTTTAGTATAGTTAACATAAATATAATTTTTCATGAGATTTCACCGTGCAATTACCTTTGCCTTGTTACACCTCCCCTGCTCCGCTCTATATGGGTAGTTGGACTCGGTGGTGATCCCTCCGTTCCTCTTGATGAACTGGAACGCGTAATCCATGAGCCCGCCGTCGCAGCCCTGGTTATCACCGGTGTCGCAGTCCACCAGCTCCTGCTCCGACAGCGTCACCAACCTCCCCGTCTTGATCTTGTTCACTCCCTCCACCGCCGCCACCGTCGAGAACGCCCAGCAGCTCCCTTAAAATCACACCAATAAGAGCCGAGTGACTAGCACACACGTGCACGAAGTAAATGGGACATTTAACTTTGTGCCACTTTTGAGATGTGGCCATTAAGGATTTGTCACTTGTTATATATGACATGTGGCTCTCATGTGTCTATGACATGTGGGTTCAGTGGCAAATCCTTTATCGCCACTCGTAAGAGTGGCAAATAGTTAATTATTTTCGAAGTAAATATAAGATCTTTTGCCATAAACTATATGCTTAATTATATGGATAGATAAAATATTCTGAGAAAAAAGTGTAGCCAACAGTAAAAAACCATTTTGAAAAAAAAATCGTATTTTCACTTATGCAAGAAATTATTTAAAAATCTAACTGAATTTAAATATATTTTGAGTTTTTGACTAAATTTAAGAATAATTAGAAAAAAATCCAAAAATTTCGTGTTAACAGGGATTCCAAAATTTCGGAAACCGAAATTTTAAATCCTGTTAGAAAATAATGTGCCGTAATAATCTAATGATTTTGCATAATTTGTACTATATCTATCCATATGTTTTTTTGACTGCATTTGGCTTTTTCCATAGAAATGTTATATGCTTTTTAGAACGAGAAAAAAATGTTCACGCTTTTTTACCGCATTGGCCTTGATCCTTGATGCCGGTGACGGCGCCGCGCTCGCGCCAGTCGACCGCGGGCGGCAGGTTGTCCTCGTCGTCTCCGCCGTACCGGAAGGAGCCCCCCTCGCCGCCGCGGCCGCCGCTCAGGCTGCGGTGGTGGCGCGCCCTGGAGCCCGCGTAGGTGCGGCGGAACTCGTCCGTCGTCATGTCGGCGAACTTGTTCAGCGCCAGCCTGAACGGCCGGCCGCCCCTCCTGTTCGCCTCGTGGATGTACCTCGCGTTCTCCACGAACACGTTGAACCGCCGGCGAGCCTCGCCGTCGTCGTTGCCAACGCCTCCTGATGCTGCCGGCCGCGACACGGTGTACCGGCTCCGCCACCGCTCGTACAGCGCCCGCAGGCTCTCCTCCGACGAGAGGTCGCTCTCCGTGAACGGGATAGCCCTCGCCGGCGCTGCCGCCGCCGCAGCCAACGCCACCGCCGCCGCCGCGACCAGGAAGCACCTCAGCATTTCGCACGGTTTTCACCTAAAATACAAGCTAGCTGACTTTATTCAGTTGAGTGAGCTGAAATGAACTTTTTTGGAAATGCGAAGTTCTATTGATAGAGCAGAAAAAAAATTACAAGATTACAACTCTAGAAAGATCGTAAAAAAAAAAAGAAAAAATATATCACCACCCAGATACCGACAGCGCCAACACACAGGTCCGGGGGAATGGTAGCTATAGCACACCGACTTTATTCAGTTCAATGAGCTGAAACGAAACTGGAACTTGAGCGATATATATAGGCGAAGATATGATAAGAGTTGTAGCGTGGGGCGGCAAAACGCCATTTGAGCAGTGAAAGGGAAGCTGATCGATGAGCATGTGGAGAGGAGAGGTCAGAGATAGATGGCGGGAGAGGTGGGAGATGGCGGGAAGTTAGAAACAAACTTTTTGGCGGTTGGCGATCATGATCATATGCATGGCCGGATAAGTTTTGGGGAGAAGAAAAAAAGGGAAGGAATTAAAGCGGAGGCTACCTTGTGCATGTTACATGATTGGTTGGTTTTCTTGCTGGGGGATTGATCAGATCATGCATGGCGGATTGATTAGATCGGAGTACTTGTTGCGGTTAAGGCCATGTTTCGTTCCAACGCAAAAACTTTTCATCCTGTAACCTCAAATATTTGGACATATGCATGGAGTATTAAATATAGAAAAAAAAACTAATTACGCAGATTGCGTGTAAATTATGAGACGGATCTTTTAAGCCTAATTGCTACATGATTTGACAATATTGTGCTACAGTAAACATTTGCTAACGATAGATTAATTAGACTTAATAAAATCGTCTTACCGTTTACAGGCATAATCTATAATTTGTTTTATTGTTAATTAGTCCACGTTTAATACTTTAAAGAGTAAATTGCGTTTAGGACCATTTTTTATTACCAAAGTTTCACTTTGGACCTCCCTTTAACATATTTATTCACTTTGGGCTAGGTTACTTTACCTTTCTTTCACTTTGGACCATCCCATAAACTTTTTAGGAATACATAAAAGACTTTTCCAACTTTAAACATATCAACAACCCGTAACCCGGTAATCTTTTCCAACTTACGTAGGTAATTTTTTACAACATTATAGAGTAAATACAGCTAAAGAAGGTGGTCCAAAGTGCACCAAAGGTAATCTTACCTGGTCCAAAGTGAAAATATGAGCTAGAGGATAGCCCAAAGTAAAATTTTGGTAATAAAAGGTGGACCAAAGTGTAATTAACTCTACTTTAAATGTGTGTCCGCATATCCGATGTGAAATGCCAGAACTTTTCACGAGGGTCTAAATTAATTGATGATCTAGTTGATCGGTTTCAGAATGTGACATATATATGGTCACTTGCTGGTAAATAATTGATTTGTCGTGTCTGTTTTACTCACATTTTTTCAGTTTGGAAAGATGGGATAAACATGTACGGCAATGCCTTTATGAGTGTGGTGCTCCCGCTAGCCGTTTTTTGTAAAGGGCCTTTTAGTACCTGCGGCCGGCGCAACAGCATATCTGAATTTTCGAAACTTCAATTGTTGTACATATAAGCAGGGGACTATATTACATCTATCGATAGTTTTTCTTCTAATAATTTGCTAAGTACAAATAATTGTAATATAATTACATTTTAACTCGTAATTGTAATATAACTCAACTGTATGTAATTGTTATAAACCCTGTGGTAGCGCGTGCTGCTCTAGGGAAGAGAGGTCACATGATTGAATCGTCTAGTTACAATGTTATTAATCGTACTAGTTGCACTATAATATATTTACATTTGACAAATTTGTGAGTAAAATTTGTTGACATATATATAGAAAATTCGTATAGAGGGTCTCTAGTTACGGTTAAGGTTAAGACTAACGAACAATCGCGCGCATCCCTGTAGTCATTTCTTAAGAGGACTTGAATCCCATTATACAAGAGCACTTCTCAAATTTCAGCTGCCTAGCATTTCACCAAACTTGAAAAGCTGTCCATATGCTCTTTATTTATAAGTATGGAATATGACAAATCCTTTGTTGAATCCAGAAGAATGGACAACCCACATATACTTATCAACTTTGGGCACTGTAGGAAGGCAACATATCCTATGCACACAGGCCCTCACGTGTACATACGTGCACACCAACTAAAAAATGTCACCAAAAAATCTAGAAAAAATAATACACATACTTTCAATTGTATTACACCTAGGGTTAAAATCTTAACGTCAAATTCATTATATTTTAGCCGTAATAAAAAAAACAAAAAATCTGACAGTTTTAAGGTTGCAATTTTGTCAGAATTTTATCTTTTTTGTTATTCTCTATGTAGAATGAATTTGAAGATGTGACTTTGCACGTAGATGTAATACTATTGAAAGTACATGTATGAATTTTCCTAGAATTTTTTGTGATAATTTTTAGTTGGTGCACACGGTGTGTAGACGCGAGAGCCTGTGTGCATAGGATACGCTCCCCTGTAGGCAATAGGAAAGCTAGTAAATTATTTATTTTCTTTATCAAACATACTATATATATATATATCAGATAGTAAACCAAAATAGAAAAAACGGTGTCATTTGTTATATTACTATATATATATATCTATCGTATCGAAAGAATTTAATTTAAAATTGGGAATTCCTAAAAAACTGTAGTAACTAAGTTTTTTAGGTAAAAGAACTTTTGAATTTAATATAATTATAGTTTTAAAGTAATTATAATGTAATTGCATGGTAACTATAGTATGATTATACTGTAACTATATCATAATTACTAACATGCAATTTTTTAATATACTTTTTGGAAAAAAAAACTTTCCATTAACTTATAGAGTCAGCTAAATCGCTTGTCACCAGGCTCTATGCCTTCCGACATGCCATCCCAGGAGAGCTGAGAGCACTTACATCCTAATGCCGCCCGAGCATGCGCCACACAATTTCAAGAACGGGGACATTGTCCCCGGGACAATATACAATTGAAAAATCAGAAAAAAAAACCCGCTTCTAATCTCCCTTTGGAGTTCATATATGACACCCATTGGCAAGAGATTGAAGGATGAGCCTTCCACCGTTAATTATCTTCAAAAGAATTGAGCGTGTCTCAACTATCACTTTTGTTTCCCATTTCACTTGCAGATTTAGTCTCCTTCATTCTTGCCAATACTTCAGTTTGGAAAGCATCCATCATATGCTAAAGTTTACCTGCCCCTGCCGTCACCACCTCTCCCTGGTGATTTCTGATGACAAACCCCCAACCTCATCAAAAGCTCCATCAGAGTTAATTAACCTTCAGGACATCTGCCCCGGGCTTCTTCCACGTCGTTGTCGTTAATTTGTTGCCCCTGTAACCCTATTCATTATTGTCTTTTGTCGACAACGCCACCCATTCATCCGCTTGTGCCGCAACTATGTATGCTAACTCGGCTGGGGGACCTCCTTCACCATCCCTGACTCGATTTCTTTCATTCCATCGTGCCACAAAAGCAGCATCACCTTCGTCTTCTCTGTTTCTCGTATTTCACACAAATGGTCTCCATGACTCCTTTTTCCTTTTGACTGTAGCGCAAGATTTCCTCCAAGTGATTGAAGGTTCAGAGTTTGCCATGCTAGCTTCACATGTTTACATTTGGAGAACAGGTGGATGGCATCTTGATTGAATATGTTATATAAAAGTTATAATATAGTCATAGTGTAGTTACGGTGTAATTGAATTATAATTGTGGCGCAATTCCTGGGCTTGGCCCTTTTCTTCTTTTTTTTTTGTTGGGCGGGGGGGGGGGGGGGGGGAATAAGTCCACCCACGTGAATATTCTTCTTTTTTTTTGGCGAAACTAGAGGTGATCATAGGCGGATTGTAGGTCCCCGGACAACCAAAAAATTCCCGCCCAAGGCCCATCAAGGTATAGATTTTGTAAAAAAAAAAATAAAGAGAAAAGGAAAGTACTTCCTCCATTACAAAATATAAGTTAAGTTGGTACGAGATTTAACATATCCCAGTACTATGAATCTTGACAGGTATTGTTGATACTTATAGTGCTAAGATATGCCACATCCCGTACTAGCTAGTGTTTACACCCAAATTTGGCACCTAGGTTCAAAATAAGGAAATTTGTCAAGATTTGGGAAAGTCATCGATTTCCCCCACAGGGCCGGTCTGACCGCTGAGTATGGGCCGGTTAGACCGCAGCTTAAGGGCCGGTCGGACCGGCGGCATGTGGCCGGTCTGACCGGCGACATGTGGCTGGTCAGACTGGCAGAGTCCGAGCCTGAGTCTGTTTTCGTCGGGTCTTGGATTTCCTTGCTCGAAAATGTATGTTTCGGGTTTCCTTTGGTTTCTACTCCGAGTTGGACATGGAGGAGGACCTGTAGGAGGAAAGACCAACCTCTATATAAGGGACAAGGCCGGTTCAATTGTAATATACAACCCACAATCTACATACAAGCTATTGAATCGCTTTTTTAAATATTGCATCTACTTTTCACATGTTTCTAGTTTAGTTCGTCCATCTTTGTCGATTTGCACCGTAAATTGTCCACCTTCGCTGCGACAGTGCGAAATCCTTTGTGGGTTTGTCCCGTAAACCTTTCATTTGCACACGAGACGGGTAGTTATCCATCATTCTATCTAAATTGGCTTCGTTAGCCGGTTTAATTTATCAAAACCCATCTTGGTCTAGCTTTTTGCTAGGTTGGGGTGGTTGGCGACTCCATATCACCGCAAGGCGTTTAGGTGCCTCGATCGTGATTGTCTTCTTACCAAAAAAAGATACCAACAGCTAGGTTAACTTGTTTTGGGACAGAGGGCGTAAGAAATACACAGCCGAAAGAATCAAACTTAACGCGGCACAATGTCTAGCATCAATTCTTTTCCGCCACAAGAACGGTGTGAATACTCATTGTCAACTTCGCTTGATGGCTTCTGGCTTCTCCCGTTCTCCGGCTCTCCACTCTACTCTCCCGGCTACCTACCTTGCACGATTGGTGTGTGCAGCGACTGCGAGTCCGCAACTCCGCCTCTCTTTCTCTATCTCCGGCCTCAGGTGCTCAGCACCGCAACAACACCGGCAGCCCGCGGCCGGCGTGGGGCATGCAGCGACCTGCGTGGCAGCGCTGATGATGCGGTGCGTCGGCTGGCAACGGCGACGAGCAGGGCTGTGGCCAGCAGTGGTAGGTATTTAGGTCTTCTCCTTGTGCTCCTTTTTCAATTTTTCAGTTTGAACTCTTGTGAATTGTGCATTTTTGGGTTTATTTTATCCTCTATACTTGTATTGTATATATTAGCGTCATCACATTTGCAGTGTATAGAATTTTTTTCTCTAAGTCAGATCACCCAGACCATAAATCCTAGATACGCCACTAGGGGTGATTATATTAAATAAAAGATTGAGAATAGATCAGTTTGGTTTACCCAGCATAAAATTCGGTAAAAAAAAAAGACTCCACATCTTGGAATGTCGTAGGAAATGCAAACAGACGAGCACAGCCACAATGCTGATGAACTCCGGCACACATAAAAGCATATGAACAAGTATAGATCACCATCTCCGTCCCTCTAACAGAGTAGGCAACCGATGCCACCAACAGAGTTGGTCACCTGGACACCAAATCCAGCGATGCTGATTTGATCGACAACTTGGTAGACAAGACTTTATAGGCCTTTGTTGGAGACCTCGCGAATGAAGTAGCCACCAACAAAGAGATAGAAAATGCAAAAGGCTCTAAACAAACCTGAATTCATAAACACCATGGAAAGAAAACCTAACCTGACTTATTATATTGATTTCTAAACACTTTATTAAAATGCTAAAAATATATTGCAAACGGACAAGAGACACCCCTCCCTCCCTTCTGCCTCATGTTCGTCGAGGACACCAGAGGTGGAGGAGGGGGCCAGAAGGAGCCGCACGTAACGTCGCTGGTCCTTGATATTCAAATATGAGTGTTATAATGGAATTTAAACTAGAACCTGAAATTTGCACTGTGATATATATAAGATTATGAGTATAAAGTGGGTTTACAACATTTGCTATATATGAACTGAATTGGAAATATTGTCCTGCATCTTATTCTATAACAGTACTATAACTGCCTATTATTAATTAACTAGAGTCATTCATCTGCAACAGCAACCAACAACTTGCCCACATTCCTCCCAGAAAACATACCAATGAGAGCCTCCGATGCCTTCTCGATGCCCTTGACAACATCCTGCAGGACGGTCACCTTACCTTCCTTTAGGTACCTAGCCATCTCATCCTCAAACATCGGGTATAAGCCGAAGTGGTTGAATACGGCAAATCCCTCCACCCGGATGGTCTTGGATAGGATCTGTATCACGTTGTGCACCCCCTCGGGCTCCTGCAGGTTGTACTGTGAAATCATCCCACACACCACCACTCGACCACCACGCCGCATGTTGACCAGCGCCGCATCCAGCGTCGCACCGCCGACATTGTCAAAGTAGATGTCTATTCCATCTGGGAAGCACCGCCGGAGAGCACCGGTAAGATCATTGCTCTCTTTCTTGTAGTTGAATGCATCGTGAAAGCCAAACTTGGTCTTGAGAAGGGTGACCTTCTCGTCGGAGCCAGCGCTTCCAACCACATAGCAGCCGGCAATCTTTGCAAGCTGCCCAACAATCTGGCCGACAGCACCAGATGCCGCCGACACAAAGACGGTCTCTCCTTTCTTGGGCTTGCCGACCTCAAAGAATGCGGCATATGCTGTTAGACCAGTCACACCTACATGGTCAATTAACACCACATATCATCTGAAATTAGTACAAAGAAAAGAGAAAAGATGTAACCAAACCGATCTTCTTGTCTACCGAGAACTGATGTGTCCGTCCATGCACAAGAATTGACTCACCGAGAACACCGGTGTAGTAGGAGAGTGGTAGATCAGGATGGTTGATCTTGTGCAGTGTCTCCGGTTGGGTGATGAGGCTGTACTCCTCCCAACCACACAGTCCCCACACGAGGTCGCCAGCAGCGAACACCGGGTGCGTTGAGTCGACCACCTTGCTCACACCGAAATTAACCATGGCCTGTCAATCCCACCATCACCAGCACAAGTCAGCCCAATTTTTCTCTCAAAATAATATAACAAAGTCAGTGCAAAGTCTTCATGTAGAAGCCACTGTACCCCCCCCCCTCTTTTTTAAAAAGGCGAGTTTCACCCAGGGATTGAAATTTCAGTAATTTCTGACCTCCTAGCAAGCAATAACCATCTCGACCGAAATTTTAGGGTTTTCCAAATTTATGTGATATTTTCTGAAAATATATTTGAATTAAGTAGGAGTTTGTTAAAATTTCAAATAATTTCATGTAACAAAAGTCTGAAATTCACGAAAATTATGAAATTTTGGTGGTTTCCAAAACCGTGAACCCTAGGTTCACTACTATCATTGTATATAACTTTTTGACTTCTTTGTATTTTTCATGTGTGGTTTGGATCATAAGTTTTATTCAGATAAGCTTATAGGATTATAAAAATATTTTACGATACAAATCTATGCTTACAATTTTTTATCTTTTATGTACCAAAAAAAGATTTCAAAAGTTTTATAAAGGTGTTATATATATAGGAGAATTTATTAATTTTTGACAAGAACAATTACTTATCTATGTACCTCTCCTAACACGAAGTCTTCGGCTATCTCCGCGGTAGCATCGTCGTGCTTAGTCATACGACCGCGCATCCACGGGTCGCATGAAAGGTAGATGTTCTTCACCATCACCGCTGGTGCCATTGTTCCAAGAGGCACGCGTGGCATCATGGTGGAGGATACCACCTCCATATCATCTACTGTAGGGTACCCAGCCGTCACGTACCTCCTTAGCACCACCTTCCTGTTCCTCACCATCTCCATCTCATAGCCATCGACGCCTCCTCCATCCATTGCTGGTTTAGATTCTTGTAAAACCAGGCTAAGCAACCCACCTCTAAGTTCAAGCTGGGGGAGTGCAAGCTTAGCACTCGCGATTGGGTTTAAATAGATGAGGTTTACAGTTTGAATGACCAAACCTCTGTCACTCATGACGCTCGATCGGTAAGAATGGAGAATGAGTAATTAATTGATCCCTCCAATCAATCATAAATAAGTGTTGTTTTAAACTTTGCAAAGTCATCAGGAGATAACTTAATTTGATCACTTAATTCATTTGTATAAATCCAAAACGAATTGTGTGTAAACTAATATTATATTATGAAAGTTATTGTTTTTAAAAGTTTGGCTATGCCAATACACAAGTGATGTATTCAAAACAAAGATAGTCAAAGTTAACTCTTGTTGACTACACTGATTCTAAAGTGACACTTATTATTTGTGACCGGAGAGAGTATTTCATTAAAGCTTATATTATGTACTGACATCTCTGTTGACATAATCCATGACAGTAAATGTTGCTTCAACAATTTGAACTGTATATAAAGCACCGCACACACAAAAAAAAAGGGCCATAGTAGAAAAAGCCTCATACTTACGATATGTTTTTACATATATATTGCATCGTCCTTTACCTATTTATCTCGTAGAAGTTTTGTCCGTTATTGACACATTTCTTTCAATTCAAAGTTTATTTATTTGTGTGTGGGCCCTACATCTGCAGAGACCGGTCAGAGGTAGCTCTAGAAAAATCTATCCAACCTAACGTCACCGGCTACGTACCTTAACCGTGTCAAAATTTTCAAAGTATACACTTTGGTTACATAACTCAATTGCGCAATCAATTCAAGAAGTCAGATGATGTGCCAATTAATCTAGTGAAGCTGATGTACAGGATGAAAGAGATGGATCATGCTGTTGAATAGTATAGAAAGAGAGGAATACTGCGTAACATGAATATTTGTATTGAGCCTCGTAGGCTGGTATATAGAGATTACACGGGTAAAGATTAGAAAGGTACTAGAGATAAGGAAAGACTCTAATCAAATCAATTATATCCTATTATTTCTAGAACTACCATATATACTCTAATATCTCCCCACGGTCCGAGCGTGAGCAGTGTGAACGCTTAGACTAGAGAAAAAACCGACGAGAGTACTCAATACATATCATAGCCCTTTGTGCCATAGTCGACGTAGCCAAAACGAAGGTTGTGAGGGAGCCGTGGTCGATGAAGCCGTGCGTAGAGTAGCCATGATCGATGTAGCCGAAATCGGAAAGCTGATGTCGAGGTAGCCGAGCCGCACGGCGTGCATGGGGCACCATAGAGTAGTCGTGAGCGAGGACGAACTAAAGATGATGACGGTGACGAGAATGCGGTGGTCGTTAAGGAAGATGACACCGAAGAGTCGATGTTGCCGAACCGTGGAGGACGAGACGTTCCGCCGGGTTTGCCAGACCCGGGAGGACAAACACGCGCAATGATGTTGTCAATACCGCACGGGCGAGGTAGGAGACCACCATGAATCTTTGGCAATATCAGAGGAGACTAGCAGAGAAGGCCTCCGAGATGATCGTGGCGCGAGAGCAGTGAAGAGAGAGAATTGATTGAGCAACACGCACTTGTCGGAGAAGAGCAAATTGTAGTCGAGGAAGATACGACGACGCTGCCAATGAGGCATTCTGGACGGAGATGAAGATGAAGTAGTGGGACCAACGGCTTGGACGGCGATGTCGGTAGCCATGTAGAGGTAGCTGGACCACCGCCCTAGAGCAGTGATGATGGCAGCGTGGAGACGCGGCGATGATGCTCGAAGTAGACAAAGAAGAACCTAGCAGCTGAAGATCACCAGTGCAGACGACGAGGATGTCGATGTGCGGGCGGCGATGGAGACGACGAGAGCGGTGACGCTGTGGTCCAAAGGGATGACACAGTTGTAGCTCCATGTCAATGCAGCGGCGAGAAGTCCATCGGTGATGAAGTCATGCTGAGGAGGGCACCTCTCAGCACTGCAACAACTAATAGAGGTGGACCACGAGCGGTGGCACTGAAGCCCGAGAGGGTGACGCAGCGGCAACCCGGAGCCTCATGGCGTAGACACTTGATGATGATCATTTGCGGAAGTCATTGTAGCCAAGCACTTGAATGGGTGATCAAGTCGAAGATATGCGAGTCAGAAGGATGAAGTCGAAGCAAAGTCTATGTAGATGTCGGAGACGTGCAGATATCGATGAGGCGCTGAGAGAGGCAAACCCACTCTATGAACGAGAGAAAAAACAAAAGGTACAGCAAGCTAGCAGCAGCACAGTAACCAGCCCAGTAATCCACAGTGCTCAATGGTCCATAGACCAAGTCCACGACCTGTCAAAACCCAATGTCAGCCGACCCCACATCAGCCTTATCCTCCCGCTACCTACTCCATGTCTGAACACTAAACAGAGAGAGGAGGGGGGGGGGGGGAGTTTTGAGGCTGGCGGAAGCAAGGGAGCCGGTAACCCGGCCGATGAGTAGGGCACACGGCTTGGCGTAGCACATCGGCAACAGCGGGAGGCCGGTAGTGATGGAGGTTGGGGCGGAGGAGTCAGGGGCACCAGGAGAGAGGTGGTGAGCTAGGTGGTTGTCACGACCAAAAATTCACGAACTAGAATTTCTAAGCTGAATATGTATTAAACCTCTGTCCAGAACTAGCCAGGATACACAAACGATAATTGTTGACATACATATCCACGTCTTACAAAAAATATAAAAGATTACAAATACAGCGGAAAAGATAAAAGCGAGCTAAGCCTGAAGACTTGACTCCTGCAGCGGGCGACTCTATTCCACAGGCATCCTTGACGGCCGCGACGAAACCAACCTCTTCGAGACATCTTCAACTGAGAAGGACTTCAACTCTGGTGTGGGGGAAAAGAGAGCAAGACTGAGTACTACCCACTGTACTAAGCAAGTCATACCGGAAAAGAAGGTATGATGCAGGGTATAACCAAAGGAGGCTAGAGGTTCATTTGCATAAAGCTAGCATTTAAAAGCAGTAGTTGAAAGCAGTAAAACAGTTGTAGTAATTAATCCATATTAACCAATCACTGTCCAACGTTACACCACGTTGCAGCAGGCCCAAACCACCACCTGAACTAACCAGTTCCAGAAGCTAACTAGGGGTGAGACTAATCACGGTGAATCTGGTCGACTGCCCATAACTGTGGACACGGCTATTCGAATAGTTTTACTCTAATCAGAGGTGTACAACTGTACCCACAAGACACAGCCCCACGACACGTTTCCGTGTGCCAACATGCCACCATGACATATCAAGGCCGTGACAGGACCCTTCGCATAACCCCCTCTAACCAAGCACACCACACCTCAGGTTTTACCCCCACTCCTCGCAAGGCAGCGGGCAGTCCCCTCTCGTGCCTAGGTGAATCTGGAAGCCGCATAGGCCGTCGTAGGGCCCATCCAAACTCCATCACGCCCACCCTTGCCTGGATGCGTCAGCTAGAGGAAAGCTACACTACAAGCCCAGCCGTTGCCCACGCTGGCTTGTGGTAAGTACGATAAGTTCTTCCAGGGCATCCCGCGAACCGGTCCTTAACTGCCATGGGCGCGACCAACAAAACCATGCACCCACAGCCTACCATAAGATTTATTTTAATTAAGCAACACCAGGACGGTGGCACTAATCCAACATTAATATTAGAACCTACAGTCTATACATTAATATGATTTCCCCCATTGTGTGCTAGTTGAACTAAGCATGGCTAAGCAATCCCTAGTCCAATACCTAGTCATGTTATATCCCAAGCTAACAAAGAAGCAAGGTACAAAAATAGTATGGCTATAATAGTAGGTAAACAACCCATGGTATTATTGTAAAACAATGCAATATTTGAAGAAAAACAATAGAACATTTGCAATATAGGATCAACATGTTCAAGTGACAAGCATGACTTGCCTTGCTCTGCTGCTGGAGGAACCTCGGCGACTATTTTGAAATACACCGGAGCGTCGGGAGAGCCGGAATCTAAGCGACATACAAAGCAAACAATATAAACAGGCTATAAGACTACTGAAACAGAGAACAAAACCATTTTAATGGATTCTACACATTTTTCTTGATTTACTGAGACTTGAATGGGCTTAAACGGAGCTCGGATGAATTAGATATGAATTTTAGAAGATTCACTGTGTTTTTACTATAAACAGAAAAATCCTTAATTGAATTATTGTGCAATAATTAAGATCATGGGGAGAGAGAGGGAGGCGCCGACATGTGGGCCCCACATGTCAGTGACTCGGGGAGGGCGGTCCACGGTGGACCGAGTCCACGGACCGGGGAGGAGCAGCGCACCACGTGGTGCACACGTGGCGCCAACGCGGCGCACACGCGGCGGCCACGCGGCAGCCACGCGGGCAGCCAAACCGACGGCTCCGATCTACCGCCCGGTAGATCGGATGTTGGATGCGGCTCGCGGCCGGCGCGCGCGGGCACGGCTCAAACTGGCCCGGCGGCCATGGCGCATGGCGGAGGGGCGCGCACGCAGCGGCGACGCGAGGCGGCGACCGGCGGCGACCGGCCGGCGGCGGAGGGCGGCGGCGTCGCGGCGACGCGAGCGGCGATAGCGGTGGCTAAGCGACTAGGCGGCAGTGCGGCGGCTAAGCAGCGCGGGAGAGAGGGAGAATCACCGAGGACGATCGACGACGGCGAGCGACGGAGGGCGATGACGACGGCGAGACGAGCTCCGGAACCCCCTAACGAACAAAAGGAGAGGGGTTAGAGGGAGAGAGGAATGTGCGAGAAGGCGAGGGCGCCCGCCGAAGACGGTGGCCATGGCGGTGCTCATCGGCGCATGGCGAGGAGTGAATTCCGGCGGCGGATTCCGGTGGAGGAGGGGTGGACAGGACGGCCCGCACGACAGCGAACGCGACGGCGTCGACGGCGCAGCTCGGCACGACGTCTAGCGGCGGCTAGCGGCGACCGGAGCGGCGGCGGCGGCGGCGGCGGCGGAGAGGAGGGCAACGGCACTAGGGCGATAGAGAGCACGGGAGGACTCGGCGAGATGAGGAAAAAGAGAGAGGGGATGGTGGTGGTG